ATTATTCAAGATATTCAAAAAAGACGATATCCAAAATGTCAGGTTTATAGCTCAAATCTACTTAAAGTTACAAGCCAAAAACTGTCAAAACCATTTATACAGATGCATCAGAGGCGCAAGGCTCACTTCCCGCCTCAGTCAAAGTTAACCTATTTACGATGGTATTATTGGGATTTTCTAATTCTCTCTCTCTTCCAAGTTTAACAAGACACACAGAACGCCGGGATGTTTTTGAGTCAATTGCAATACATCGGATTTGCATGCGATAGACTATCAAAGTGAAAGATAAGGATTAAATATAGCTGTTTTACCAATATTGTATGTATTGTAAAGTTGTATAAATAATTTGTTTATTTTAAACATAAATATTTGATGCGGGGTCTTTATTTATTTATTGTGCAAACATTCTTATAAGTTTACAAAATATTTTCTGTAAATCAAATTTTCAAACCCCCCTATTTTAACATATTCTAAAATTGAAAAATTATATTTTTTAATTTGTCAATTGTATGCGATGTATACACTGATGGACAAAAATAATAATGAAGTTTCATATTTTGATATCGCCGGGCGTCTTTTTTTTTTTTTTTTTTTGAAGGAGACAGAAGCTGTTCACACTTGATTATCTCGTGTGTCTTCAATAAAGGTCACTGTAATATCTTTCAGAGTTATTATCAAAATCCCGATATACATGCTAAAAGTTACAACTTCCTTAAGTTTTGTCCATTAGTATATTTTCTCTCAAATATTGCAAGTTTATTTAAAGAAAGGATTAAACTAACCATCATGACTGGGTGAGGTAGAATGTGTCTGCCTTTGTCATTAAGACTGGGAGCACTACTCAGTGCAGGCCGACTTAGCACCAAACGAAATGCCCGCCTCTGACATGAGGAACAGACGCCATGTACAGCTGTTCCTAACATGGACTACAAATGCTGCTCATCCTGTATCCCTGGATTAGGAACTCTTACAGGGTACTATCAGCCGGGCCAGCTGAGCCCAGGTATTTTAGAGAGCTTGTTACTGCTCCTCCTCCTCCTTTTTCATCCGTGTTTGGGACCGGCAAAGGCGGAGTTACAAGATTAAATAATTTTTTAAGCGATATTCGAAAGAGAAAAAAGATGGATATAACGGATATATCAAACAATTTTACTATTTCAGTTCAGATATATTCACTCTATTTTTCCATCACGTGTACGATGCACCTATGTTCTACTCAATATATTTTACAATAACATATCTGGTTTTAATAAATACGATTTAATTAATCAAACACATAAGATATATTTAAATCGAAAAGTTATTTTTGGGTATTTATATTGTATTGTGCTTAAATGTTAAAAATATTTACCTTATTAATGTTTTAAGGTAGAAAATTTATATATTTCAATTTAAATCGCTATGTCCCACTAGGGATACTTGCACTGTCATACATGTATCTTTCTACATTTGTCTATACATATTTACAATAATTTTAGGCCGTATTGTCATATCATTTAGGTAAAATATTTACCCTTTCTAAATAATTAGTTGAATGTAGTTATATATTTAGTGAATAAATTATACATAAAAATAGCTTAATGTCATATAAATATTCTCGAATATCAGCGCTTTATAATCGTTAATAAAATATATGTGACTACTTTATTCCCTAGCAACACTTTCTAGGTTATAACAATTAACTTGACGGGGTTTCAAATGCTTGCAAAGAGTTTAAAGCAGAGACAAAGTAGATCAGGGGGTAAATCAATGAAAGATGGCACTTCCTGATTGTGTAACTAAACGTAACTGATGGCTCACTGCCATCTATCAGACAGAATACCAACTGACAGTTGATTAAAAAAAAAATCGAATGTTTATGATAATTCGAGTTAACTATGTTATTTAAAAATATAGATATATTCTGGTGTATATTATATAAAATAAAGGTATATACACATACAGTAGAACCTCTCTGTAAAGGACACCTAGTTGCAGAAACAAAGTGATCTTTAGAGAGAGGTGTCCTCTTACCGGAGATTTGCTAAATAGTAAAAATGGTAATTTTGTCAATGAAAACTGCCTTTGTTGAGAGGTCTCCTCTAGCGGGAGTGTTTTCTCACGGAGGCTTTACTGTATTTAGAATTATAAACAAAGTAAAAATATATTTTAGAGAGTATCTGTGCCTCAGACTTTTGCAACAAGTGTGACACGATCCTCATGTAACACGAGGATGTTTCGACGCTGTAGATGGTTGGTCGGATTGTATTAGGAGAAGTCATTGATTTCGCCAACTCAGGGAGGAGAGAGGTTTTACAATACGGTGGTCTCACTAGAGGGAGGGAGGGCTGGAAGCCAAACAACGGGGACAAAGGGTGGCAGGCATGACTCACGCGCCACGCGGGCGGCACCAGGAATCAATACGCGCTTGCAGAACCGCCTCGAGGTTTTAATGAAATTTGTTTCCTTAATTATAATTCTTCTCTCTCCATCCTGAGGCCAATTCACGCCGGAATTGCTCCCAAAATAGGCTTCCTCTAATTGGAGCGATTGGAAGGATTCTCTAACTAATTTTGGAACCACTTTCCATCTTCCTTAACTATCACAGAGTTCCCTGGAGTCTCTCTAGCTAGGTCTGCCCATATAAGTCTTGAGACACTGTAATTGTGAGTTGTCGCAATAACTAACTACAGTCAACCTCACAATAGCGACCTATCTGTATGTACGATCCTCTCTGAGGAACCAGCTTTATATAGCCAGACCTGATATAACCTAATCTCCAATGGGAAACTATATATTTCTACCGTATCAACGGAGTGCTTATAAAACTATAAGAAAAAAATGCTAGTTTATTTATTTGTGTGTACAGTACAAAGAACTAATTTATTTAACTACCGCCATAAATATTTGTTCCATTCGCGATATATATGTTCCACATACTAGAAGCAGCCTGGTAGATTTGACTGCCGAAACTGTTTGAATGTTTAACCACTGATGAGCCAGGCGTTCGCAATATTCTTACCCATTTGCAGCATAAGAACAACCAATATTGTTGTTTATTTGGAAAAATTCAGTTAATAAACTTGAAACCTATAGCAATAATTATTTGTTGAAAAGTTAATTTCGTATTCAATGATTAAGAGAGAAAAAATCCTGGTAAAAAAAATTCCTCAGATTCAAAATTGGACCCACTTTTCTTAAGTCAACATCAAGCCATACACCAAATACAAAAACAACAGTATCATACCCCAACATTGCCTTGATTGTAGCTGATCTGATCTGTTTTGTTTAAATATAATATATCAGTGGTATATTATTACTTTACTCTGTTTTGATTCGAAACAAATCGAACGTTTATCATCATCATTATTAAAGGCTTTGTTTATAATGTGTGCAAGAATTGTGAAATAATAAAACAATTATAGTGTGTGTGTAGCATTAAATTTCACATCTTTTATTTTTCTTTTAAAGATATCTAAATATATAAAGTGTAATTTATTATAAAATATAAAATATAACTTTAACTATTAATCTTCAACCTTTAATAAAAACATATCAGTTGCTATACCTCCAAACAAGATCGATGGAATAATCCAGCGACTGTTGAGACATCAACTAACCGAGTTGATCTGTCAGAGCCATTGTGGAAATAACAAGTGCGGAAGCAACAAGCTCCGCAAAGAAATCCTACCACAGTACAAATAAAGAACGCAACAGAGAGAGAGAGAGGCATTACCTTCAACATTCCATCTGTTGGCATTACTTCAATATAAAGACAGAAAATATTCCAAAGTTTATTTTTAGAGAGATCTAGGAAGAGCTAAATCTGTCGCCTTACAATGAAATCAACTACAACGATGTGCAACAGTAGTTCACGCTAACACCCCCCCCCCCCCCCCCCCCCCCGAGGCAAGAACGTTAGAGACGCTGTCAAAATAGAATTTCATTGTTTGCTAATTCCCAAATTAGCCGGTAGATGGCGTGCTGAGATCCCGTTAACAAGATCCCCTAACGGAAGTCCCGGTGACTCACCGATCAATCTGACAACAGGATGTGACGTCATGTCTACCTGGTGATCCATCCAGCCAATCACAGCAGCAACAGATCATCCATACTATCAAAATATTTTTGTTTTATTATCTCCAGTGCACACGATTGATACAGTCAATTAGCGATTTTAAACCTTATACGGAATTAATATAAAATCCCATTTAAGACAAATATTTACCGGTCCCGAGTGTTTCCCAAAGACAATTCTAGTAAGAAAATTAATATCGTTAATAAGAATTATCACAATTAATCGTGTTTTTTAGACCAAATGTCGAAATTTTTGAAAAGTTTAAATTGATGGTATTTACCGCAAATTTTCGTTTTAAATATATTAGCATGTGTTTATATTAGCTTGTCATCAATTCAATAGTGGATCATGAACCGATCTATGGTAATCTCAGGCCACTTGAGAGATTGGCGACACCGACCTCTATAGTAAATCGTCAATGATACCTGACAGTAAAGTTAAAACTACCAAATTTAAAATCATAATCGGATTTAGGACCGAAATGTTTGGTTTTGATGCTTGGTCTTAGATAGAGTATCAGCTGTGTGTATACAATATAATCATGTCATGAGTTTGCAATGACTTATACTGTAATACTTCACAATTACGAGGTATCGGAGCTACATTTGGTTACTCACTGTTGAGGTTAGACTTGAGTAAGAAACGAAGGATACTCAAACAATATTGTAGAAAAGTTTTTATTATAAGGGGGTATTAACCTTTTAGTTCTCCAATAAAATTATATATAAAGGTATTTATAGGGAGAGAGAGTCAAATAAAAAACAATTTATACCAAGATAAAATAATAACAAGCGTAACGAAGTTTTGACAATTATACCGCAAATGTTTCTTTTGAACGAAAAATCGAAATTTATTTTAAGGAGAAATAACGATGATTTCTAACCTTAGGGATGAAGTATGAAAATATGAATTGTTAAGAGTAATGATAAACGGAAAAATAAAGTGTCCAGGGATGGGAATCGAACCCACAGTGTTCCGCTTACCGGGCAGATGCCATGTCCACTAAGCTACCCCTGGACATATTTTTTTCCATTCGTAAATATTATATAAAGTAATTTATAATACAATATAATGCGGCTTATGATTGTATTTTCTTATCTGTTGATAAGATTCAGAGAACCCCTCGGTCGGCCCTGTGGTCGCCCCCTAACGGAGTCCAGCGACAGGCGTCCCATGGAGCTTCCTGTGACCGGGGTTGTAGAGCTACTGGACAATACTGGACTCCCACCGTATCAAGATGAACCATGGCAGTAATATTGTTAGCATTTTCAACGTCCGAACTTCATATCTCCTTAATTATTTGTGTAAGAGTCAATACTTTTATAAAGAACTTCTAGTAACTATACCTGTCAGCCGAAAGTTGGTCTAAACTGCTGCTTGAATTAACCAATTTCGAATAATCGAATTTCGCATTAAGGATAATTTTAAATTGAATTTGCTCCACGTCCCTTTCTTTATTTTTGAATGATTACAACTCTATATACTAGACATTGTGTGTGTAAGTAGAGAATGTAAGGGAGAGTAAGTATATATCCAGATAGATCTTAACTATCTCTAAATATAAGTTTAATCTCATTCTTACTTGATCTCTAATGGAGGATCAAACTGGTGTATCCTGACCTAATCCCCGTGGTGAATATCGCCAGAACAATCTATTCAGAGAGAGATGAAGTAAAAACTCTTTTCACTATAGCCACTACATACATCTAACACACCATGTATGACCAAGACTCCTTGCTCTCTCTCATCTTCTATCTCTAATTGAAAAGAGTATTTTACACAACAAACTATTTTTTAAATTAAAAAGGCATATATTGGATCAAAATATAATTTATTTTACCAATATATGCCTTTTTAATTAAAAATTTATTTATAGATTGCTCTATTTTCAAAACAACAAATTATACTCTGGTTATTTACCCCCCAAAAGCATCTTAGAATATTGAAAAAAGTTGATTAAAATGTGAATTATTCGAAGATGAAATTCAAGACATAGAATGTCGCAGAGTAGTCTTTATTGTCTTCGGCTTCAGTAAAAAGTACAGTTTTTTTTATAAGTCTATCAACGCAACATAAGTTGAGAGATTTGTTTATACTTTGTAATACCAGTTCTACAGTTCAGCAGAAAAGATGAGAATATCGTAAAATATAAAACAGAAGATGACTAGAATACAAACAGTAGTTGTTATGCCTCGACACCAAGACTGTATATAGCTGATTACCTATTTATTTATTGTTTCTCTTAATAATTTATTCATATTTTCCTTTCTCGAACTCCGGGACGAGTTTATATAAGGCCCAATGTCCCAATAAAAGGCCTTTGTTGTCGTTGTAAGTTTAATACAAGGTCTATAGACAGCTGGGGGAGCTCTCACGCGGAAGAATTCGAGTGTACATAGGACGTTACCCGGAATTCTAAGGATGTGCTAAACTGACGATTATCTCTTCAACAAGGACATAATGGTCTGAGTTCTCAATGGAACTCGGCCGTTTAAGAGTGTATGGATGGGGAATTTTCCTACTGTAATCTACAGACAGATGTTCTACGTATAAGTGGGTGATCTACCGTTAGAGTTAGTTAGTTGCTCTGGCAGAAATCTTGTTTTACCATTAGAAAGACAAAGCAATTCCGATTTGTCATTCTTTATAGCATTAGAATGAATTTGTATTTGATAAAGTTTTTCTTCTTATTCTTTTAATCTATATTAAATCTAATATATCAAGTCTATTTTACATTTTGACCATAGAATTAACATACATGTAACATACATAGCCCCCAAATTTAATGTGCAAAATAACATACTTCATTCCAATATGGAAATATCAACACTTTAAAAAAATCATTTGTTCAAATAACCACACTAAATATCTCCACAATATTTTTTATTCATCCTAATTATCTTAAATATTCGTTTTAACTAAAATATTTGCAAAAATGTGATTCATTCTCAACTATTGATAATAAAATGGTTGCCTTTAATATATATATCTGTGATAAGGTCCTGTCGACTTATCTGTGATGAGGTATCCTGTCGACTCTCGCTATAGCTGTGGTAACCGAGGGTCAAACCTGTAGTAACCGAGAGGGACAGTCAGGGCGTGGAGAGTTTTCCAGTACCTCTCTGCAACTTGGAGGACCTTTAACAGTTCTCACAGAGTACAGGCAGTTGTGGTCGAGGCAGAGTGGAAAGCTTGGGAATGTCCACACACAAAAAACGAAGAGACACAGTTGTAGTAGGAAAGTTCCGTGAACAGATAGGAGTCGAGCTAAGAGCAAGATGGAGTTAGAAGAGTCTTACTGTTCTACATGGTCGATGAGGTAGACCTGGGTACAACCGACAAGGGCTCACGCCGATGGTGAAGTGACTGTAAGTTCGGCTAAAACCGAGGTTTTATATACCTTTGCCGAGGAGGGAGACATGCGAGAATTTGGACTTTGAACGGGTCCAAAGGGCGTGGGAGCGTCTGCGCTATTCTGCACCCTTTGACCTTGATGGCAACGACTTGCCAAATTCCTCTTTAGGGTTGTTGAATTTCTATCTCAATCTCTTGCTTAGCTCAGCTCTTAATCTATTACATAGTTTTATTTATTCATCCTCAGTTTGTACAAAGTACATTACATATGGTGATGCAATGACACATGTCAATCATGCGTATAATTATAATTATACATCTATAAATAATTATTTATAGATGTGTTTCTATATACAACATGACAATCTTGTTATAAGTATTATACAATATAGGGTTGTTGGTTTAAATTACCATATATACATATATATATATATATATATATTGTTGCACCAAGTTGCAGCTTTGCAGGGTCGTCGACCTTGGTTTCTTCCTTCTTGGTGTTATACACGTTTCCCGAGCGGGTTTCCATAGTCAAAGCAAATAAATAAAAGTAAATAAATAAAATTAAATAAAAAATAAATTACCTTTTAAAGTTATTGCGCGTTTATTTATTCTTGTCTTTCTCGTAGGTCGCGATCCGCCGTCTTGGTCCAGGTTCTCTCTCGCTCCAATAACCAATCAAGATATATGTACAATAAAATATTACAAAAGGAATGAAACTATTAAAAGGAATAATGATAATCTAAATAATCTGTTTTAAATAAATATTAAATATCATAGAATATTTTGAATGAATGTAGGGCGCATTAAAATTGATGCAACAATATATCAATAAACCAAATAACCGTTTTATAACAAATATATTCTGACCACAATAAGAAAAGTTAAACCTTTTAAAAGCTGAAAAAACTAATAAAAATCTCCGAATATAAATAGCAAGCAATCATTTCATATTCCACATCTTCACAACTTTTTATATAGAGGCATCTTTGAAATATATTTTTTAATAAAATACTTTAAACACGAAAAAAAAAGTTAACCGCATTTTTTCTAAGACTTTTTTTTTTTTAATTTAGCAAGTTTTTATCGCATCCGGCCACCTCGTTCATAAAATGGCGGGAAACCATATAGCAGAGGATATTGCAGTTTTTGACGACTTCAAAAATGGAGGTTTCTAGAAGTTGGGGACTTTTAAACAGTTCTCTGGAAATGGTTTCATTCTCTTATCTCAATTGGTGTGTCCTTTTATTTTTATTACTGATGGGGGTTTTGAGAGCCTCCGGAATATGATATTTCCGGAAAAAAATATTTAAAATGTTTACTTTTATAACTTGTTCGCCATTTAAAATTGCAGCGAGTTAAAGAGAAATGATATTTGATAGCTTTCAAATGGATATGTTGCTTGTTGGGCGGAACTTTTTATTACGTTCTGTAGAGAATATTTCTATTGATTACTTAATTGATAGGGGGTCGGTGGAAGGATGATCTAAACCGTTGGTTTTCGACCGTTATGACCCGGGTTCGATTCCCGCATTGGACACTTTTTTTCTGATTAAAAAAAAAAAATGCTCCAATGGCCCTCGAATCTTGCATAAGTCCAACCCCACCAGCAAGTACAAGTAACTGAACGGGGCTCTGACACATTTGTAAGTGCCAAGTCGAACTGCTTTTCACATGTGTAGACATGTGGTGCACTTACAGTAAAAGCAGTCGCAGTTTGTTTTCATATATTCAAAAAGATGGATTTTTTTTCAGAAATTTGAAAATATTCATAGTTTTAAAAAACAACAAAAATATATGTAAAAAAAAAAAACATTTATTTTTAGTTGACTCAGGTTCTTAAGAAACATAAAACATCTAATTATATAACAGTTAATATACAGGGGGTTGTTGGTATGATTTTTATTGATTAATACAAATATCATTTACACAGAAGAAAGATAGGTTTATGAAATATTTTCATATGTTATAAGATGTTTAAAACTCACTGATTATTTGTTAATTACAGAGAACAAATATATCAGGTGTTGCCAACTATTTAAGCAAATATTCACAGATAAAATATTTGAATAAATTCTCATCTATTCATAAATGGAGATAATATTTATTTAACGACTGGGGAAAGAAGACAATGGAATCATTGTTTCTAGTGTTGCCAACTATTGTGTTAAAAATTCACAGATAAAATATAAAAATTGATTAAAATCCCGTGTGTTTTAGATTTTCATCAGCAACTAGGTGGTCAACCAAACTGGCTATCTAATGGTAAGTCATGATAAGTCTCATACCATCTACCTATCATAAATATGTATACACAGTTGATTCTCTATTTAAGACCATTATATGCGACCTGCATTTCTCACTATTTAAACCAGTATTGTGTTTTTTAAAAAATATATTATTAAACTTTTAAAAGATACGAAATTAATGCCAAAATTTTACTTTTAATATTTTTAAAATATTCAATATTTTTCAAATCAAAACAAAATTCATTTCCAAGACAATAAAAAGAGTGGTGGTGGTGTTTTGTCCATGGAGCAGATGAGATCGGTTCATGCACCCTGATCACAATACCGGCCAACTGAGGTGCCTTGTTCGTATGGATGTCCTCTTCTGGATTGATGTCTGCAATATAGAGGGCTGCAAGGATGGCTGGGTATATATG